GTGTGTGTGTGTGTGTGTGTGTGTGTGTGTGTGAATATATATATATATGTGTGTGTGTGTGTGTGTGTATATATATATGTGTGTGTGTGTGTGTGTGAATATATATATATGTGTGTGTGTGTGTGTGTGTATACAGTATATATATATACAGCTGACCACCTATTTTTTCCAGCAGGGTTCACGGAGCATATCTGAGATACTCACAGCTAATAAAGAATGCAGATTGAGCCATCCTGTCGCGGTGATGCTAACGTCTCCTTGGGGAAACAGGTTGATTCTACCCTGAGCTAATCACGGTGTGTGTGTGTGTGTGTGTGTATACAGTATATATATATACAGCTGACCACCTATTTTTTCCAGCAGGGTTCACGGAGCATATCTGAGATACTCACAGCTAATAAAGAATGCAGATTGAGCCATCCTGTCGCGGTGATGCTAACGTCTCCTTGGGGAAACAGGTTGATTCTACACTGCGCTAATAACGTGTCGCTGGTGGATGCATTCTGTGAACACAAATAACACAATATGAATTACACAAAAGACTTTTTGATCTCTTGGAAACTGAATGTGCCAGAGAGGAAACTGTAAGTGAATCATTTCCAATTTGGAGCAGGAGCACATATAGATTCCAAACAAATGTTTGTGTTATCTTTAGCCAAGAGGATGTGATCGAGCAGGCTGGGTGGTTTGTTTTCATCAAGCTCATCGCTTTAACCTTCTGTTGCGCTGTTTCTCTGCAGATGGATGCAATTTGTGTATCACAAAACTTTTAAGTTTGGACGATGTGTAAAAAGTTTACCATGTGTGGGTTGAGGGAGAGATCTTCCTGAGAGGATGAGCCGGCGGTAATGACACGTGGAGCGTTGCAGTGTGAGCCAGCCGTCTGAAACGAACAAACAGTGCTCTTAAATGGACAGTTCACCCCAAAAATGACACACCCTCAGGCCATCAAATATCTTTTTCTTCAGTAGAACAGTAAAGAAGATTTTTAGCTGAAACTCCCTGCTGAAAAACAAATAGACACCATCACAAAATTTGTAATGGTTTTACTGGTTATAATGGGATTTGTATAGGCTTTAATGGAAACTGTAATGGACCCTGTGGGTTTCTACTGATAATTGGTCACCTTCTATTGGTGGCTTGTTAAAACCAATACATCTTAATGGAATATGTCCCAAAACACACTACAGAAAACCATTTTTAATGGTTAAAAGTTGATGGTTTGTATTGGTATTTGTTGTGGAAACCATTAGAAGTTTCTGTGATGGTTTCTATAGTTTTTTTTTCAGCAGGGCTGTGATCCTTGGTGATTCATAAAATGCAAGTCAGCAGCTACCATCACTCTGAGAGGCAAAAAAGGCATAGCAGGCAACACAAAATGAATTCCTGTGGCTCCTGATGATATATTGAGGTTTTATGAAGTGAAACAATCAGTCTGTGCAAGAAGCTGAACATTATTTATAACACCACTGTAATAAATTTGATTCTATCTCGCAGACTGATTCTTTCTGACAGTTTGTTTCAATGAACTGGTTCAATTCACTACTTTGTTTTCGCAATCACTCAATGCTGAAAAAGCAAAAATATTATTAAAGTACCTACCAATTATGCAAAATGTGGGTGTTTTACATATCTAAAACATATAAAGTAAATAAACTTGTCTTCTTTTCACATAAACAAAGAGAAAGCATAAAAACATTTATTTCTCTCCTTCATTCGAGTGTTCGGTTCACACATGCGCACATCAGCGGCTCATCAGTTCTTCAGTCCGAGCCGAACTGTTTCCTCAGTTCAGTGACTGTTGGAGGAATGATTCATTCATCGCAGGATCAGATACGCTGGTATTTTGGCTGATTTGAGTCTTGGTGACTGTCAGGCATCTGAAAGTAAGTTTTGATTGAGTAACTTGTAGATCTGAGCTGCTTGAGCCACAAACGGTTTCAGATGCTTCAGTCCTATTTGTTGAACTGACTCATCCAGTTCACTCAAAAAAACTGAATGATTCGTTTGTGAACCGGACATCATTTTGGACCTTTTGCCTAAGGCTCTGGATTATAATCCTGTAAATAATATTCACTTTCTTGCACAGACTGATTGTTTCGCTTCGTAAGATCTCAATATATCGTCAATAGCCATGTGTATTAATTCTGTGCTCCTTTTTTTACTCTTAAAAACGGACAGCGGGCTAAAAATCCTTGGTGCTAAAAAGTTCTAATTCTTCTTTAGTGTTCTACTGAAGAAAAAAAATCTTGGATGGCCTGAAGGTGAGTAAATTAACAGCACGTTTTCATTTTTGCGTGAATTATCCCCTGAAACACACGCCACAAGTCATTCTTGATAACAAAACAGATGAGGATTTACATAAGAACAGCACTCATTAAAACTACTACTGATTGAGCTGTGCCAACTCAGATAAACTGGATAAACAGATTGCTTGCATTACGAAACAGGCAAAATAACAAGCTCTGGAAGCAGTTAAAGGATTCGTTTACAATAATAATTGCACAATGCTCAGTTCTAGATTAACTGTTTCTTTAAAAAAAAAAACAATGTTCGTAGTTTGAGGCTGAAATTTGATTAATTGAAGAATCTGTAAACATAATTAAGACAAAAAATGCACCTGATCAATATCCAAGTCTGAGAGGCGCAGGAGAGCGTTTGCATTTCTGGTCACAGCAAAGACGTTTAACGTGAAGAGAAGCTCAGATACGGGAAACATGCCGAGATTTTGGATCTGCGAAACAAATAGTTTTAGGAAAAACATCTTAGAAGTCCAAAGAAAATATTCATTTTGTCCAGATGCACAGCGTGTGTGCTCTGATTCATTCTGGAGAGTATTATTTAAAACCTGGTTTGGATGTGAGGAGCCCACCTGATAAGAGAGATTGAAGGGCGGTCCGGTCCCAACAGGGAGGCTCTGGCCAAGCTCAGGTCTGATCTCAAAACGGGACGGGCTGGAATCTCTGAAAGAAAGACTCACAGTGTGAACGACTCAATATTAAATAATCACTTATTAGCTTTGAGATATTTCAGGGTGAATCTCACAAAACCTGTCAAGAACACGTCTGTGACATATTTCACCTCAAAAATCAGAAGAAAAAGGAATGAAGTTTTTATCCTAATTTTGTCCTGTTTTTGGACCATTCTGATTTTTTATTACATTTAAATTTATTGTTACAGTTTCTATTCATATTTTGAATTAGTTTTTTTCTGTTTACATTTTAATTTAAATAAAACATTTTTT